TGGGTTTTTATAAGGTGGCTTGACCCAGGGACCACTTAGTGTAAGTGTTGGGCCCATTAAGAGCCCATGGTGATGGGCTCAGGGGTTCACTGTCTCCTATAGTGAATTCGGCCAAGCCTTGTAAGAGAGGCTAGGTTGAACCCATCTGGCTGATGTGTAGATCAATGTTTGGGTCCCACGCCATACAAGGATACCCAACTGGGCAGCAGTTTGGAGGCCGAATGAGCGCATAGACTTAATGGGCTTAAAGCCCAATTCGAACTGGTTTAATTTGATTAATTAAAGAGGGGCGGCTCTGGGATTTAGATCAGCAGATAGGTTAGGGATAACTCCCTATCCACTCAGAGAGTCCAAATCCAAATAAAGATTTGGATCAGGAAACTCCTAGTGAGATTAGGAGGGTTGATCTTATTCTGTAGATAAGATAAGGGATTATCCTTATCTCTTAAAGAGAGTCCAGATCCAAATAAGGATTTGGATTAGGAAACTCCTAATAGGATTAGGAGGATCTCTCTTTAAGGCTATAAAAGGAGGAAAGGGGCACACCCCAGTTCACTCAATTCTGATTACAGACACAAGAGAGAAGACAGCTCCACTAAGACTAACGCCATCTTCTGCTCTTGCCTTCTCCTCCTGCTGCTGCCATTGCCAGTTCGTTCTCCACCTGTAGGAGCGATCAAGAAACGTTCTTGATATCAGTTTTTTGTGAAAAACTGATCTGAAGTCGTGCTCACTCACCCTCCATCGAATTCTTGCTGAAGAACCACCTGCTGATTCTGCTCCACCCTACGCTGTGTCATCTTCAGTGGGGGCAGTCTTTGGCGTTTTCCTTGGGCGTGAACACCTTCGTTGGGAGTTACTGTTACTCTATATCAGGTATATCCCTCTCCTACCTTTTGGTTTCAGATCTGGTCCGGTTTAGGTTCAAGATTGATCATCGAAAATGCAGATTTTCTAAAACAGGGAATGTGATTGCCACATGGGAGGGAGATTTTTGAAATTTCGCCCTACCTACCTGCAGGGTTCGGCTATCCATATGATGGATCTCCCATCCCATCAGATTCACTCTGAAAACTCATTGGTTTACCTACTAATTCTCCGATGCTGAGAATTGGGATACATCAGAATCTTTGCAAATCATCTATACATGATCAGCATATAGAAAAGAATTTTCAATGTTAAACTAGTACAGGAATCATAATTCTTTTTATTTTTCTATTTTTTTATCAATAACAAAAATAATTTATTAGAAGACAAGAAAGAAGAAAGCATAAACAACCCTCCAAGTCGTTTCTTGCTTCTCTACCCTAGGACTGTACCAAAAGGGCAACAAAATTTGGAAGCCATTTAAATGAAATGTTCACTTTGGTAGCAAATGGTACCAATTCCCTGACATGATGATGCAAACATTCAAGGGCATCCAAATGAATAGAAATTACCCTATTACTCAGCTTAATCATAACTTAAGGACTAGGGAGTACATCAGCCCAAGGTCTCAGAATAAGGGCAAACTCTCCACTTTAATAGAATCACCAACACTAGTAGGTTTACAATACCAAAACAATCTATCCACCATAGCCTCTAAAATGGCCCATGGTTCACAAGTTAAAAACCATCAAGGTTGAACTTAATAGCTCCATTCTCTTAAGGACTTCAGTCTTTATTTAGACATTTTGAGGCAAATTTTAGTTGGTTCCTTCACCTGAGTGGCCTATTGATTCTGTTATTGTCTTAATTTTCTTAGTTTTCTATATTAGCAAGCTTTTTCTTGTAAACAAATTTAAGGAAATTTCTAGCTAGTTTTGCACTATAAATAAAAAATCTGATTAATTAACCTACCCCCCACTCTGTACCTTATTATCACAGAGGTGTAGGGTGTGTCAGAGGAATTTGAGATAAACCATATCCCTGATCTTCCACCATGTTAAATGTAAACCTATCCTTCTAATTATACCAAAATCATATTTTCATATATGTGGATATTCCAAATCCTGCTGCTGATCCATATTTAAGCATGTCTAGCTGCATAAAATTATATTTCAACATATTCTTCTTAATTGTGATGTGTGTTCATCATTCAGGTGTGACCGTGTTCTTGCATTTGGAAATGGAATGAGGCTATTGACTTATAAGAGGACTGAGCAGATGCTTTCTGACCATCGGCCTGTGACTGCCATTTACATGGCTGAGGTTGAGGTCTTCTGTCACAAAAAGCTACAAAGAGCTCTTACATTGACAGATGCAGAGCTAAAAGCTGAGGAAGTTATGACAGATATAGAGGTTAACAGTGGGATGAACCGTTCAAGATTTGGAGAGGTAAATATCTTTTAATATATTAGCATGCTCAAAGAAATGACGGAATATTCCTAATCTCCTAAGCAATCAAAGTTGTTTCTTCCTGAACCCCAGTTTGTAGAATATTTGAAGTATGTCCTTTGTTTTTTCTGTATGATAATTTGTTGGTTTCAACCAAAAAATTTTGTTTGTTGGTACCAAGATATTAGTGTTATTTCTAACCATGTCCATTTTATTAGGAATAGATGATCAAGATTCATTCTGTTACCCCCCCTCCCCCCAACATCATCCTTGGTCCCAGACCAATGAATAACATGGTAAAAAGAAAGAAATAAGTTACAAGAAGGGATTATAAAAAAAGTATGCAATACAAGAAGATCAGATATAAAAAAGACCACTAGATTACTAACAACTAATTTTGTACAAAAAACCTTTAACGTGAATTCAATTATCAAAAAAAAAAAAACAACTAATTTTGTACAAAAGATACCTAGAAGAGAAAAAAGGGATAAGAAGAAGATCAAACTTACTAGGGCAAGCTACTAGCACTGTAAATAACATTTGTGTCCTTTCCTATGAGACTCAAATAAAGTAATAATTACTTAAATGGAATGCACATCCAATTTTTCGTAAGTACTAGATTGACTATTTGTTTATCAATTTCTGATTTACTGAAATGTAAAGATGCATTATAAAACAAAATATAATCACATTGTTATATAATTTACATGTTGAATAACTTATAAAATTACATATTAATAAGATCTAAAATTGAGACATGACTCCATGCCAACTCCACTCCAGCCTTGTGCCAAGGTGAGTAAAAAATCTACATCAAAGAGTTGATCTCCAATCTAAGAACCAAGAATCAGATCTGGCAATTTGTATCCATTTGAGTTCTAGCTCAACTTCATGATGGTAGTTCTTGTTCCATGCGTGGATCGTTCTGTAACTATGATAAGGCCAATGTTGTTACTCGTTTCTAAACACAACCTCTCTCTCTCTCTCTCTCACACACACACACACACATTGTCAGGTTCCATTCTCACTATTGATATATATTGTTTCCTTTCTGGTGTAGGATATATAATTCAGAACATTATACAGAACGAAACTCTTTAAGATATACATACTCGGGGTAGCGAGTGGTCTTCTTGACCCCCAGAGTTCTTACATCTGTTATTCATTTTTATACCCATTCTTTGTTATGATCATCATGCTACAGAAGGTGTTATGTTATTATCTTAAATGTGTATATATAAATGCCCACAAAACTATTGAAGTAAATCCGTTGACAAATGGCATCCAGTGTGTTGTCAGTTGTCTCAACATGTATGTTTGTATTGAATATGTTGTGACATCTCAATCTTAGGCTATCATCTCAACCTTTCTTTTATGCATTATCCTCGCCATTTGCGTTAAAAATATGTTTTGTTCAACCTAATCAAGTTGCACGTTTACAAGCCAAAAGATCTGTCTTCTTTCAGGCAAGAAAATGCCTGGAGGCGCAGCCTAAAAGCATACAAACAATTGAAGTGTATGCCTCCAGCGTAGAGGTGTACACTACTTACAGCCTAAAGGTGTATGAGGCGTACACTTCCGTTATATATTAATATAATCCAGAGAATGCAAACTCCCCAAATTTGTTTATTATAGTATCATTAGAATGTCATTGTACTTGTTTTAGCAAGGAAAAGACTTGATAAAATAGAGAAAGCATCGAAATGTTTTGCTTTCAAAGGTCACAGATTTTTAGGGTGGTTTTCTTCTTGGTCTTGTTGAGAAAGGGTATTATTCTTGTGGAGTTTGAAGTGGGTTTGATTGTGCTGGCTTTGAGGCTGTGTTTGGTTTAGGCTGCTTGGGGTTATTGGTTGTGGGGCTTTGTTCTAGGTGGATTGTTGGGCTTTTGGGTTTCTGCTGTTTTTTTTGTTGAGGTGCATTTGGGTTGAATTTCTTGTTTGGGAGTTTGTTTTTTTCTTCTCTCTTGAGCAACTTTTGATCACTCTCCTTTGTACTTCTTTTTCTTTTGATAAATTTTATTTTATTATCAAAAAAATAGAATAACATTGTATGGATTTGCTTGTTCGCAGCCGGCAGCTCCACCCCCACACCTGTGCCCTAGACCTCAAAAAAAAAAAAAAAAAAAAAAGAAAATAACATCTACACAACACTAATACCTCCTTGATACCAACCACATAAGCCCATAACAAACACCTCCTTGTGCTCTACATATGATCCCAACCACATAAGCTCATAACAAAAACATACAGAACATCTACACAACACTAATACCTCCTTGTGCTCAAGCTCTCTAAACTACACATCATGTCTATGCGTTTTAAAACATTGAATCTATGTTACTCTACTAGTAATTGCTTCGTGCTAATTTTTCATTCACCTTGAAGCTTAAAAGAGCAGAAATCAAAAACAAGCTAGTTCAGGGCCTCTGGAATTTTTCCATTTGGAATCTATAAAATTGACTTGGGAGAAAAAAATTACATTACCCCTCCATTTTCACAACTAACATAGTCTCAATTCTTAAAACAGTAAGGCAGACTAGAGATTATTTAAAATTGAAACGCTGAATCATGCTAACTTTTGGCCTAAGGAATGCATTGGGAAGAGGGGAGGAGGTTCTGCTAATTTGCTTTACTGATGGTTCTGGGCTGTTCTATAATGTTCTCATTGGGACATGATTTTTCATTAGTAGCAATATTTTTCCATATAGACATTTCTGCGGGACTGACTCCTCCATGCTGCTTCCTGAGCCCTGACCCCATTGACTAGACATGTTGATGCGCTTCTTTTACAGAACAATGCAAAGATTAATTGTGAAACCATCAATTTGTATTTGGGAACAGTGTTTCTGCATACCACAATCAGATCTCTCACATGACATGATCTATCATTTAATCAGAGAAAGTGAACACTATTTCTGAAGAAATATATAAAACAATGCCAAATCAACAGAATTTCTACTGAAGGCGTCCTCAGAATTGATGATCATCGAGGAATTACCAAACACTCACCAGCCAAGTCTGTGTTTGGTACCATTATTGTTTTTACTTAAAACATTTTGGGTTGATCAATACAAATTGGTGAAAGATATGTATTGTTTCATAACATTATGAATCATTAATTTCAGCACTGAACAAGCAGTCTTTCAGGCATGCATTTTAAGGTATGTCTGTTTCAACTTTCAACTATAAACAGATTCAAATAACAGTTGTATGCCAATTTCATTAACCCAAAATGTTTCACAGTAGAAACATTAGAAGTACTAATACAATAGCTTAATGGGTCCTGCATTGTATGGGTGGAGAATAATATATATATATATATATATATTTAGGATCAATTTGAAAAGAGTACAAATACAAATACAAATATGTATAATATAAATACAAAGTTTACAATATAATATACACATATTTATTTATACTCTTTCCAAGTTGAGCCTTATTAACAACAATAGTATTGTTAATTAGTTCCAATTTTTTTGTAATTTTTCAATTTGGTTTAATTTCATATATAAATTAAATAATTGTATACATCAAAATATAGAATAAAATTTTGTTTCCAATTCCTTATTTATCTTGTTAATTTATTTTAACTTTTTCATTATTTTTTTTTCAATTTTCTAAGAAAAGTCGTACCACCTATGGCTCAGCACGAAACAGCACAGGCCCACAAGCCTAGTGCCGGGCTTCCCTTGTGAGGGGTTCTGGACCAGGCAGCGTGGATCGTGCTGGCCCACATTAAACAGGGGATAGTAGCCACTAGCCACCTCCTAGTGGTTTGGGTAGCACTCATGGAACCAAAGAAAAAAATAATAAATTGATCAATTACATGTCATGTATTAGAATTTGTTTATCTGTCACTAATTATCAATATTAAGACTTTTGGTCTATTGGCAAAATAAGTAACACACTAACACTCACTTCACGAGTCTGGATCTGTTCCGATAAAACATATTCAACAAGCTTTGCTACGAAGGTATGTTTTCCAATGTCTAAAAGAGCCCAGAGGTTTCAAAACTCAGAAACAGGGGAGCATCTTACCCCATACGTTTTTGGTTTTTAATTTCTTTGTCTCATTCTCCTCCTGTTGGTTTAAATTTTAAAAGTTTTTGTGGATGATCCATTGATCAAAACCTGAAAGGATACTGTAGTAACACATTGCATCACCCAATTGATCCATTTATCATGGAAACCAAACTTTGTAATATTTTTTTATAAATTCCCATTCTAGCATGTCATATGCCTTTTCTATATCAATCTCGTAGGCCATCAGCCCTTTTTTTTCCTTTCTTCTTCCTCATTGTATTTATCATCTCATGAGCAACTAATATGTTGTTAGTGATTTAGGTCATGTTTTGTTCAATTCTCATTCTTCTTCATTCTTACCTGAAATGAAATTCTAAAATGGACAAGAATGGATAAAAATAGGCAGAATGAGAAAATATTGCTATGAACCAAACACTTTTTTCCTAAAAATGAATTCTTTTCAAATTGACAAGCGTCCTATGTTGTTCGTTTTCATTCTTCAAAAAAAAAAAACAAAAATTGTGCTTGTATTCATAAACCGCCAACCTAGGTCTCCAAAACTGTTGCCATAGATGTTTTGCAAAAGTGCTTTTATAAAAGTAATTTCGTAAAAGTGTTTTTGTAAAAAGTACTTCCATAAAAGTGATTTCATAAAAGTACTTTTATTAAAGTGTTTTCACAAAAGTACATTTATATAAGTACTTTTCTAAAATTTATAAAAGAGCTTTTGTAAAAATGCTTTCACAAAAGTACTTTTATATAAGTACTTTTATAAAAGTGCTTTTATAAAAATGCTTTCACAAAAGTGATTTAATGTAAAAATGCTTTCGTAAAAGTAATTTTTAAAAGTGCTTTTGTAAAAGTACTTTACTTTCACAAAAGTACTTTTCATAAATTTACTTTTATAAAAATGACTTCGTAAATGCTCTTTCATATAAAAGTACTTTTATAAAAGTGATTCCATAAAAATACTTTTGTGGAAGTACTTTTGTAAAAGTGCTTTCGTAAAAGTAAATATCTATGGCAGCAGTTTTGTGGGCAGAGTTCCCTCAAAGAATGAAAATGAGCAAAATGGGGCATGATTATTTTTCATATTGCATGCTACTCAATTTTTGTGCTATGGGGCTGATTTTTTATTCTAAAATGAATGTGACCCATGACAGGAATTTTATAATCAAACACTCTAATATTATTCATTCTTGCCCGTTCTTATTTAGAATGAACAAAAATTAAAAAAAAAAAAATGAAGCCCACAACAGTAAACAAAACATGGCCTAATCTCCGTGGGACAAATACACTCTGGTATATCATTTAAGAAGGGCTTGATTATATTAACCAGAATTGTTGCAATGATTTTGTAAATGATATTGTACAAAATAATAGATCTGTAATTTCCCACCTCTAGCATCGGTCTTCGGTCTTCGGGATTAGAGCCAGGAAAGTAGGATTGTTTTATTTGAATGCCTTGTCGTTCTCCCAAAATAAAAAATAAAAAAATAAAAAAAAATAAGTTTTTACCGTCTCTTCGACCAATTGGCCATGGCCAATGATTTCTTTGTACTTCTAAAAAAACATTTGACCCATTTGATCCAAGGGCTTCTAAGTCCCCCTATTGAATTTAGTGCTTCCCATATTTCCTCCAAGGAGACCTCTTTAATTTTCATTTTGTTCCTCTAATATAGTACCCCTTTATCCCCTCCAGAGACTTGTCAATATTAGCAGTTTCCCCCCTTCGTAAATCTATCTTCAAATTTTTCTCACAAAAAAAATCGTTGATTTCTCTTACACCCGTAATCCACCTCCCATTATCATCTTTTGTTTTGATTCCTTCTAATTTTGTATTTTTATTACCCAAATTTAGCCAATTTATTCTCATTTTTTGTCCAATGGATTTCTTCCCCTTTTGTAGTTTTTTTGGATTGTCATCTCCTCATTATTAACTATCACTATCTTGTCTAGATTTAGAATTCATTCCTCCTCGGTGCTTTTTAATAATTCCATCAGATTTTTCTTTTTTCCATTATATTTCCAAAAATCTTTATACAGGTTTTAATATTATTAGCTACTCTGTTTCTTTTTTTTTTTTTTTTGTTAATTGTTAGACCTTTCGAGCCATCATCTCTTTTGATCCAAGCAACTGTTATTATTCCCTCCAGGTCCTGGTTGTTACCCCATATAACTTCAAATCTGAAAGGCTTTGGGCCAAAGTCAACGTTTTGACCTGTACTCATCATCATGGGTATAATCAGAACTTAAGAAAGGCAGATTTTCAGTATTCTCCATAGAATATTAACTAATGCTAGATTAATTTTTTCAAAAATTAATTTATTTCTCCATGTGAATTAATTTA